CTAGAGAGAGAGAGAGATCCAGTCTGTGATATATATATCTAGAGAGAGAGAGAGATCCAGTCTGTGATATATATATCTAGAGAGAGAGAGAGATCCAGTCTGTGATATATATATCTAGAGAGAGAGAGAGAGATCCAGTCTGTGATATATATATATATATATAAAGAGAGAGAGATCTAGTCTGCAATAACGGTTTCGAAACCAAACTGCTAAGAACTACATGAAGTTAACGTTTTTGGAACCAACAACCTTTGTGAGTACTTAATTCACATTTAATTCTACATCTTCTTTCTTCACACTCCTCTAAATATGCCCTTCACGAATTTCAAATCAAAGATTTCTGTGAATCATTTCAGCTTTTTTATCTTTGGCCTGCTAGTAAACACTGCAACAACGTGTATTAATACTTCTATTTTGTTCGTTCGTATTTTAACTTTAATTTGTCTGTTGCCACACACGAGACTTTGTTTTCCGTGCAAAAGCTCATAAAGATGTCTTATCTATAGCTCCACAATCTTTATCCACAATAAACTCCACAATCTTTACAACTACTAAAACCATATCCTCAATAAACTCCACAGTCTTCACATCTACCAAAACCTTATCCATAATAAACTCCACAATCTTCACATCTACCAAAACCTTATCCACAATAAACTCCACAATATTCACAACTACCAAAACCATATCCTCAATAAACTCCACAGTCTTCACATCAATCAAAACCTTATCCATAACAAACTCCACAATCTTCACAACTACCAAAACCATATCCTCAATAAACTCCACAATCTTCACATCTACCAAAACCTTATCCTCAATAAACTCCACAATCTTCACAACTACAAAACCATATCCTCAATAAACTCCACAGTCTTCACATCTACCAAAACCTTATCCACAATGAACTCCACAATCTTCACAACTACCAAAATCATATCCTCAATAAACTCCACAATCTTCACAACTACCAAAACCTTATCCATAATAAACTCCACAATCTTCACAACTACCAAAACCATATCCTCAATAAACTTCATAGTCTTCACATCTACCAAAATCTTATCCACAATCTTTACAACTACTAAAACCTTATCCACAGTAAACTCCACAATCTTCACAACTACCAAAACCTTATCCACAATAAACTCCACAATATTCACAACTACCAAAACCATATACTCAATAAACTCCACAGTCTTCACATCTACCAAAACCTTATCCACAATCTTTAC